CATCCAAAGGGAGTAACATTTATATTTTCCTTTTGAAATACTGCATGAAGTTGTTAAGTTGAAGCCTAATTCATGACTTTAAAATGCCATATACTGAGAGCTCAGTCATTTCCATCCGCAGTTCTTTAGGTGTCGTGGTGCTATCACCTTGGTGAGGCTGAAATGCTAATTTAAGTGTTATGTCATGATTCTCAAGGTCAGTGAACCTTTCACTGTAGTCTTCAATTAATAGGTCTGTAACAGTTGCATATTCTTCAAACGATTCACATTTATCATCCTGCTCATCACTGACCTTTGCTAACTGGGGAAAATGTTCATCCGAAATTTCCTTTTGAAGAAAAAGTGTTTTGAAAAAAAGATAATGTTTTTCAAAGTGCTTGGAATTTTTTTTTGCCATATATATATATATAAACTTAGTTTTACCTTGCAAAGAAATATACAAGTCATTTTGATTTGACGTGGTATCACAGAACAATGCTGCATACCTATAGAAATCTTTCAATAATTCACACTGTTGATTATGTTCTTAATAAATTTTAACTATTAATATCTGTTCTCATAGAGATAAAATTTTGGCTAACACCTATCCCTGTGATAGCCAACACACTTTAGGATGATAAAGCCAATCTACACCGAATACCTCATCATTCAACTTTAGCATATTATGAAATTGACAATGCCAGGTTGCATTTGCACAAACATAGTCAACAATGACCTGTTGCAGAGTGTCACTCAAAATTGCTTTAGCACAGAGATTTTGCTGATGTAAGATACAATGAAAAAAAAATGAGAGCATCTGGATCCATGAATACTTTTTTATCTGTAAAGGTACTCAATACCAAATTGAACTAATTGATCAATACTTAACCCTTCATGTTTTCTTGTCATGGAAGGTGCACTGTCTGTACATACACTCACTACATTTACCAAATGTAGTCCAACTTCATGACTTGAAAATTCTTGAAAACTATTCCCCATGTTCTGTTCATAAGAGCACCCAAAGCAAGTTAACTCTCCATAGCAAAGAAAATCTTCTGTTAGGACCCAAATGAAGTATAAAATCTGCATAAAGTGAGTAATATAAGTTGATTCATCCAAAGTGAGTAACACTTATATTTTCCTTTTGATGTACTACATGAAATTGTTAAGTTGAAGCCTAATTCATGCTGCCCATCAGGTATGGTTCTCTTTGAAGCATTGTGGTGTGGTTGTACTCTGGAATCTTACTGGGGTCTAAGCATCCTGTAACTTTGACAATGAATTCTTTCACAATTTCTACATCACTTAATGATGTCACTTCCTCCCCCCTCCCAGGACATATGCTACTTTGTAAGTTGCTTCAGGGCTTTATTTTCAGGTCTCACTGCTACTTGAAAGAGTTGTCTTTGCTCTTGCTTTCCATCTTTTAATTTCTGTATTACAACTCTCTCTATGGCAAAGAAATTTCTGTGCCTCTTCCACTAATTTAAAATATGTGTGGTCTTTATGAATGTTATTGCTGATGGACATGAATTTCTTTAATGTTGAGACTGCAGTATCACAAAGCAAGCAAATCATCTTATCCCTCCTTAGCAGAAACAAGAAAACATAGCAATTCCTGATTCTCACTAACAAATGTATATTCTTCCTTCAACATTCTCTTGGTCTTCTTTGACGTGATGGTCTGTTAAGCAGACAGAATTAAAAAATACTGTCAAGCTGTGCAGCTATTCACAAATTCCATCCCAAACAAAAACACAGTGTACTGCTGGCAAAGCTCATAATGGACTGGTGCACTCAACACTTGTGAACTCTCACCAACCAGCCTCTTGTGCTAGTGGTGCCAGTCAGGTGGGGGAAGTTAGAACTAAATCATGAGCATAACAGCTGTCAATTTAGCCCTTATGGCTTACTAAATTCTAATTGTGCTGGTCTATCTAGGAGGATTATTTCATTGAAACTTAATTCTTTGGTATTTTAAAATATGATCATTTTAAAAATAAAATAAAAGCATGAAAGACAAACAAAAATGTATTAATAAAAGTAAAAGTATATGTTCTGCAAAATTTGGATTCAGTCAAAAGGCCTCATTTAAGGACCTTCAAAGCCACAGGTTCTCCACCCCTGGCCTAGAAGTTTGGTTTTCAGTGGGAAACACAAATCAATACCATAATGAGATCTCATCTAACTTCAAGGAGAATGGCTCATGTTAAAAGTCCCCAAAACAACACATGCTGGTGTGGATATAGTGAGAAAGGAACTCTTACACACTGTTGGTGGGACCAAAAACTTATAAAACTTCTATGGAAAATTGTATGGAGATACCTCAAAGAACTTAAAGTAGGCATACTTTAAGTGACCCAGAAATCCCACTGCTGTGTATGTGTATATATTATATACACACACATATATATACATATGTATATACTCAAAGGAAAAAAAGGTCATTTTATAAAAAGGACACCTGCACTCACATGTTTATAGAAGCCCAATTCATAATTGAAAAGATGTGTAAACAAACCAGGTGCCCAACAATATGTGAATGGTTTAATAAAATGTGGTATATGCATGCCATGGACTATTACTCAGGTACAAAAATGATGATCTAGCATCTTTTTGGACAACCTGGAAAGAAATGGGAACCATTATTCTGAGTAAAACATCACAAGAATGGAGAAACAAACACAGGTGCTCAATACCAAATTGAACTAATTGATCAATACTTAAGTGTGCAATGAAAATCAATCTGGGGGTGGAGGGAGAAGGAATAGGTAAATTCACATCTACTGGGCACAGTGCATGCTATTTGGGTGCAGGGCACACTTACGTGTATAGCTTTGACGCAATCTGTACAAAACATAGTATATAAACAAAACATGTATATCCCTTAACATTCTGAAATTTAGAAAGAACATCAACCAAAACAAAACAAAACACAAACCAACAAAGGTTTCAACAACTTAGAACCTCATGCAAAGAACTGTATCAAGTTTGAATATTGATACTCCACATAACAGACTCATTAGGACAGGGCCCCAAGGTAAAATTTCATAGACAATTCCCAAATGGTATTACAGACTGACTGAAATCTGAAGGATTTCCAGAACCATTTATAGTCCAGCAGCAGAAGACTTCCTAAAAAACTAATTGTTGACCCAAGATTCAGTGAAACAACAAAAAAATTGTATAGGACTGAAGGAATTGATAAGAAAATAAAATTTTGGTTGTTTTGAACCACTGTTGGTATAATTTTTAATGTTCTCATTTCTGATATGGTATGCTGGAGTCACTTCTCTTTCTTTTGGATCTATCTCTCACCATTGATTTAGTGATCTGTGCTGTTGTGAACATCTTAAAACATTTTTAAATGGGAATCTTATTCTCGCTGACCTTTCAGAATTCAGAGACATGTTTCTGAATCTCTTTACTTTTAATGGCAATGTAGTTACTTGCATAGGTTCAATAAGAATGTGTTCTAATTTTTATCAGTAAATAATTGAACAAATAGATGGCACAGTCAAGGCCATCTATTTGAGAGTGGGTCTCATTAATTCCTGTATGAAACCCATCATTAGGAAATAAGGACTATTCTACATTTGGAAGATTCTCCCAGAAAACTGGCCTGTGGCCTTTTTATGGAAGTTAGGAAATTTTAGCAGATTTGCTAAAGTTAGGAAATTTTAGTAGCCCTTAAGGAGACATGCATTCACTCCCACTTACAGATAATGGAAGACAAAACAGTAGTGATGACCTTGGTTTGGTTTCCTGGCCTCATAAGCCAATAGAAGAGAAAATTAAAGCAATAAACAACATACTTAGAAAGCAGAAGCTATTGAATCTTGCTAAAAAGATTCTAAGAAATCTGCAGACAGTACTTAATTTTCTAGACTACGCAGTTGTTTAACACCACATGGCTTTAGGTTTTCTGACCAGACTCAAATAGGCTTATGTATATTCGTTAACTTTTCCTACTGCATTTATATAAACAAGAATCAGGCCCAAATGCAACAAGATCAGCTGTCTTTGGAAATCAACAATAATCTTTGGGGATTATTTATGATCACAGTGCTTCAGGGTTTACAATGTCTTTCTACAACCTGAGTTAACCCTCCTGAAGAACCTTTAAACACAATATTCCTAAAATCACCATGAACAGATTTAGACTTGAAATCTTCATCTATCTGCCCTGCAAAAGACAATATGGTTTATAAATAGTCAAATGGATAAACCCTCACACCCTGTTCATTCTCCTTTATTGCAAATAGCTGCTGGCCTTAGAAGTCACAAGTGCACCCACACATCCCCATGCACACATCCACACACCAACACGTACCATTCTCCATGAAGTAGCTGACTAGGATTGTGAAGCCCAATCCCATGGAGTGTAAATCCAAACTTCCACCTTGGGTCTCAGTGAAGAAGGCTCAAAGGGGGGCTGAGATCAGTGGGACAACATTACTCCCTCCACCAGGAAAACATCTAAATAAGCCAAACTTCTGCCCCTCTCAGCCATGGAAGAGAAACAGCTACCATGGGGAGGTTTTCTCTTTCATCTGTCCCCTGGCTCTGTGCTGCATTACAAGCAGAATATATTAATAAAGAAATGCTTTGGGGAAGAATACTCTCCACTGTTGTGACATCTCTGTAGTCTCTGTTTTGATATTTGGCCTTGAGAAGTTCAAAGGATTTGAGAGATTAGAGTTCAAGAAAGACCAAGATGTACCCCAGGGGCAGGCCCTGGTCTTAGAAGCTGAAAGCCCTGCTCCTCCCAAGCCATAGCCACTTTGACCTCCAGAAGAACCTGGTGCATATCTTGGTCTAAAAGAATTATTTTCAAACACTCAGCCCCTCCTCTTCTTTTTAGTGGTAGCTGAGAGCAATTCAGTTTAGGGTCCCTAAACAAGCTGCAGTACTTCCTTGCCAAGTCTGCCCATTTCCTCAGCTTGTTCCTGGCACCTAGGACAGAGCTTGGCCACGCCAGCCAGCCCTAACACCCACACCCCTTTCAGATCCCCACTCACTGTTCTTTTCTGCCTTGTGTTTCGGTGGTTCAGGCTCCGGCAGACACGGACAGGGCCCATCACAGAGGATGGTGAGGCTCTTGCCAGTAGAGCAAGCATGGAATTCCAACTTGCACTGCAAAAGAGAAAAAAGAATAGGCCTTAAGGACACAGCCGCCACACACCTCTGCCCAGCTTCCTTGGGGGAAAGCCAGGACCTTCACTTCTCACAAACAAAGCTGAAGCAGGGAGAATTCCATCTCAGTTAAAGGTTTGAATTACAGGATGCTGAATAAGAAATGGCCCTTTATATTTTTCTAGATGGCACAGGATTACTTCTAAAAACACTAAGGAAGCACGGGAAGGTTAACATTGGTTACTGAATAGTAAACTCAAGGGGCAGCTAAAATTGTTACTATGAAACTTAACATCTGTGAAGTTCTATATGGTGCAGGAAAACCCCTCCCTCCACCAGAGAAGACTTCTTCCTCTCATTTCCTCCTGTGCTTGTGCACCACCTCTCATCTCTTTCAGCCTGTCACACGCTCTTACTGGGGAAGAAGAGTAGCTATCTCTTTACTAAGTGTGGATGGTAACCAGAGGCTCAGGCCCTTCCCCTTGGAAGCAATGAGGAATGAATGCTTTTGCTTCCACAATCCAAAACCTAAATTTACGCGAGTCTTTCCCTTACCAGAGGACGCCTGTGGTCAAACTAGCCTGTGACATGCTAAACATGTCTACCCAATCCTAGGATTCTACTTTAGAAGCCTATAAGCCGTATCTTCTTGTCAAACTTCTATCAGGAACAATGGTAACATTTTGGTCACTTTCTACCAGCTCTTAAGTTTCAGTGAATTCAGAACACAAGCAAGAGAGAGGGATGTTATTTACAGGTGCAAAAAGACCTCAACAGTCCTCAGCACTTTTAGTATTCCTACATTATGGAAGAAGACACTGAGATTTAGGTTAAATAATTTGCAAAAGATCACAAAGCTCATTCTCACCCATGCCTGAGTCCAGAGCTCAGCACTTAGCTGTGTGTCCTATAACACCATTTCTCTCACATGGATGGGGCTTTGGCACGCAGACATCCATGCTGAAACATGTGTGGCTAATTAGGTAACTCTGCTATTGGCCTAGATCTGAGCTGTCTGAGCGTTTACTCCCTTTTTGCCTGTAAAATTCTCAAGATCAAGGTCTGTGCGTAATCAGTCTTCTGCAAAGACCCACAGGCTCAAGATCATGTGTGTATCCAGTAGAGGTTCAAAGGAAGAAGAGATAGGTGAAATTTACTGAGCACCCACTGGGCGTGCAGCTCTTATCAGGTGCCATGGGGAATCTTTCAAATGAAAGAAAAGAGGAGATAGAGTCCTTGCCCTTGGAAAACACAAATGCATACCTTTGAAAAAAAGTCCAGGAGCATTTGCAAAGCCACACACAAGTAAGTGCTGATATCTACTGGCTCACTGTGATAGGACAGGCTACTGAGGCCCCATACTGATCACACACCAAAGGCAGAATGCTTTAAACTTGCTTCTGAATGTACTGGATGCGCTCTTGTGTTACTTGGCGGTCACCCACACAGTGGCTGGCCCCCCTGCACGGAGAGAGCAGCAGAGCAGACCTGCAGAGCACCGGCTTTCTCTGGCAGCACAGCACCTCTCATGCACACTTGCTAAGTGTCTACTGTGTGCCTGCTGCGGTGCAGGAGCTGTGGGGCTGTGTGAGGAGAAGCCGGGGCCCAGACCACAAACATGGACTGACTTGATGAAGAAGCAAAAAAGAGTGTGTCCTAGTGAAGCCATGTGGGTGTGAGGCTGGATGCGTGCGTGCGTGTGTGCGTGCGTGCATGTGGTACAAGGACAGAGCACAGAGGAGGCCTACAGGTATAGGACGTGCCTGCAGACAGCCAAGAGGAGCCCCCAAAGGCAGCAGGCACATGTCACGAGCAGGCAGTTCTTCTGCACAGCGCAGCACGCGTGCAGCTGCGCACAGCTGGCCGCTGCCCCTCCTCACCTCCTGGCTAGCTCTCTGGAGCAACGATCAACTTCTCTACAGAACCCCTAAAGCTATTTAGAGAAAAATATATTTTTATGTGTAAATCGATTTTATAAAGTCAAAATTCTTATGTTTATTCATTATAAAGCCTTATCGTATGTTACTGTTATTTCCTGTTTGTGTCTGTGATGGACAGGGACTTTTCCTGAACACTCTGTATTCTCCCTGGGAGAGGAACCTATCCTTCCACTCACAGTCCTGTGTCTTGCTGGGCAGCACCTCTCCAGGGGGTGACGCCAGCCCTGGTCACGTGATTCACTCTGCACAGTGGGTGGTTAGCAGGAGTCATACCACTCACATCAAGAGTCACCATTTGGTTCCATCGCCTATCTCACTCTCTTCCCTCTACTGCAAAAATGATCTGCCAGATAAGAGCTGCTCCTTCTGCCCAGGACTCAGAAGGCAGAGAACACAGAGCTGAAGTTAACCCAGACCTAACACACAACACAGACATGGACATGTGGTTTGTTGATGTAAGCCCCTGATACGTGGGGATCATTTGTTACCACAGCATAACTTAGTGAAAGCTGACCAATGAGTGGCTGACTTCCTCCTAGACCAGGAAGTACTGACCAGCAGAAAAAGGTCTTGTCACTGTCGCATCCCTGGCATAAGACAGCACGTGTACAGCCCTGGCATACAGATGTACAGAAGTAGCTGTTGAATGATGAATGCAGGAGGGCAGCACGGTTCACTCCACTGCCTTAAACCTCTGTCTCAGCCGCCAGGACTTACCTGTCTGCCTGCACAAGGACTCCATTTCAAGGTGTTCATCCTGTCCCACCCTTCGACTGACTTGATGAAGAAGCAGAAAGAATGATCCCAGGTCCTTTCTTTCAGCACTCAGCCTCTCGGTCTCCCTGCTCGCCCCTGCCTATCACTGGAGCGGGAGCCTAGTCCATCTACTTCCCAGATGCCCAGAACACCTGTTCCCTGGGTGGCCTTGCCATGACAAGAACCCCTGTGGACTGTAATCCCTGGGACTCCAGGTCCTTGGCTGGGCTGCAGTGTCCTCTCTTCAGCAGCCTGGTGGCCAGCCATGGAGGCAGGCCAGCCTCCTCTCTGGTACTACCAAAAACACTGCACCAGTGAAAATCCCAGTTTCAAGGCCATAGAGCTGCATTTTGTCTTCCAGAAAAATACGTGACATTTAAATGAAGCTCAAAAGTCTACATGTATAATTCCATTTCTTTTCATTTTTTTATTTCAGGCTAATATGAAGGACATGTGATTAGGTTACATAAATTGCCTTTGTAAGGTAAAGTCCACATTGTAGTTGGATTCCATTTTTCAGAAAGCTCAAAATGAGCTATTTAGAGATACACACATATGAGGGAAAAGCTCCTTTATAAGGGGAGAAACAGTGGCAAATTCTACCAAGAGAGGTGTCACCTCCTGAGGGGAGCCAGGACCGGCCAGATGGGAGCCCATCACAGAATTCCATGATGTTTTATTTCATAAAGTACGTGTCAGATTCTGAGGCTTCTGTTTTGTTACCAGATTTGACAATGTCCATAAAATAATACATATACTTTTATACATCAAATATATCAATACTTTGTACTTTTTACATTAAGTATCACATATTTACAATAGAAATCTAAAATGGCACGTATCTGCTTCCATGGAGGTGACAACCAGGCAGGAACCACACCTCTGAGAAAATGGATGAGTGAACAGAGCACACGTGGGGGATGCCCTCTGGGCAGGGTTGAGAGGGTGAAGCTCTGCATCTGAGCCCCAGATCTTCTCCGGCCAGAAGCATCCCAAGGGCCTACAACTTGGGGACCTCACAAACGTCCCCTTCCCCCAGCATATCTTTACTCCTCATCTCTCAAATTACCCTCCCAATCACTTTCCATCATCCTCTCTTTCCCCGGTTCTTGCTTGAGAAGAGTAGCTACTGAAGCCAAATGCTGATCACTATTGCAGTTGCACACAGAGGGGCCATGTAACTTCCCAGGTATAGGGCTTCCTGCTCAGCGGGCCTGTACCACCCTGGTTGGTTCCCTGATTTTGCATTTCTAGCCTCCAAAACTATGAGACAATAAGTTTCTGGTCTTAAAGATCCACTTTGTATGCAGTACTTTGTTAGCATAGCCTAGCAAATGAAAACACCTTCTATGTAGATTTTTAAAAAGAGATAGACTCAGCTCGGCGCCTGTAAGACGGTGGTTATGGTGCCAGCCACATACACCGAAGGTGGAGGGTTAAAACCCGGCCTGGGCCAGCTAACCAACAATGACAACTACAACAAAAAATAGCTGGGCATTATGGTGGATGCCTGTAGTCCCAGCTACTTGGGAGGCTGAAGCAAGAGAATCACTTGAGCCCAAGAGTTTGAGTTTGCTGTGAGCTGTGACACCATGGCATTCTACCGAGAACAACATAGTGAGACTCTGTCTCAATAAAAAAGAGAGAAACTCGGGAGGCTAAGTCAAGAGGATTGCTCAAGCCCAAGAGTTTGAGATTGCTGTGAGCTATGACGCCAAGGCAACCCAGGGCAATAGAGTGAGACTCTGTCTCAAAAAGAAAAAAAAAGAAAAGAAAAGAAAAGAAACTCTAAAGAATAAAAATACTTTGTCTTAGGTTTATGAAACATGGATCTGAATGCCAAGATGGCTAAGTTGTAAAGGAAAGAGGGAAAAAAAAAATCATAAATAGCAGCCTTGAAAAATGAGCAGTTGGACCCAAAGAACATTGCCAAGTTCTATTAGTTGTGATGCAGAAAAGAGGAAATATAAAAAATTCAAGACTTTATATTGATTTTATGATAAAGCAGTTAAATAAATAATTAACTCTAACTCTCTAAAGGAAGAGAGTTGAGAAAGTGGGAAATAAATTAAGGACTTTTAAACGTAAGACTAGAACCCATACTCATATAAACACAAACAGAAATACAAATACAAACTCCTGAAACTTCTAGACCCTTGACCTGCTAGAACAGAAATGCCTTCCCCAATCATTGCAGCAATGGAGAAACGAGAGGACTGAAGACGGCACGAACAGACAAAAACATTCAAAATGTTGACCTACTTAAAAATAAATGTGCTAGCAGATTTCCCAACCAATTTTCCC